TGGAGTAGTTTAAAGATAAAAATCAGAAGTGCTCAGTGGATTTATCTTTGTAGTTCCAGCATGCTACAATCATTATTTCTCTTATTTGTATTGACATGCCAACTAATGACATTAATTAGCTTCAAAGATTTTCCTTGCTCTTGAAGTCTGCTGGGGTAGTTCAGCACCATTTCACAGAAATTTTATATAAAAAGTCTGTAAAGTCTATAAAAAAGAGAAAGTTGAGAACCTGTGTTGGGGCCTGGGGCGAGGGGTGGTGGTGCCTGAGAGGCCTAGGGCAGAGAGTATTGAGGCTCATGGAAAAGCAAAGAGGGAAGTTATCATTACTTGGGTTTTGACATCTATGAGAGGGCCACAAGGATGTTGAGTTACCAAAGAATGGATATTTAGGGAAGACACAGGTGGGGTGCGGGGCGGGGGAGAGGGGCAAGAAGGAAAGGAAGAGGTAGAAGGAAGCTGCATAGGAGTCAACTGTTTATTACTCTTCGTCCTGGCAATAGGCTGAAATCTTTTTGCCTCAGTTTTTGTTTACATTTGGCACGCTAATCAGCAGTGGGCAGATAGAGAGCTTTGGAAACTTATGCAAAATGCTTAAAGTGTTAGTTAATTTGATAGTTATTATAATGCCCAGGAATGGCATTTAAAAATCCACATATAAGATGACCCATGGCAATTCAAACCTGTGTTGTTCAAGGGGCTTCTGTATTCTTTGGATACCTTTCCCCTTACCCTCTCATGGTTTATTCGTGTGTTTTTTCACTCCCATATTTTCAGCGTTTTCCTCTTCACTGGGTCAAATCACTATATATTTTTCAATTTAAAAAAAGACATTTTTTAGAGTGTTTTAGATTTACAATAAAATTGAGAGCAATGTGCAGACATTTTTCATATACCCTCTGATCCCATACGTGTAGTCTACCATTATCAACATCACTTAACAGAGGTATATTTGTTTACCAAAGATGCACCTACACTGATACATCATAATCACTCAAAGTTCATAGGTTACCTTCGGGTTCACTCTTGGTGTTGTACATTATATGAATTTGGATAAAAGTATAATGACATATATCCATAATTATAATGTCAGACAGAGTATCTTTTTTGTGCTCTGCCTATTCATTTTCTCTCCCCACCCCCAACCATGGGAACCACTGATTTTTTAAAAAATTGTCTCTATAGTTTGCCTGTTCCAGAATGGCATATGGTTGGAATCATGCCATATGTAGCCTCTTCAGATTGGTTTCTTTCACTTAGTAATATGCATTTATGGTTCTTTCATGTTTTCTTACGTGATAGTTCACTTATTTTATTTAACTTTTGTATTTTTTAATTTTTAAGATTTCTCTTTATTGTTGAAAGTATTACAGATGTATTACAGATGTTCCCCTTCTCACCTCCCCCCATTGAACTGACAAACAAAATAGATGGAGAGACCTGGAAGCATGCAAAAGACTGAGGATTCTTTAAGGGAAGTGGGGAGGGAAGAGATCAAAGAATTTATATGCATATTTATTTTTTTAATTTATTTTTAAATCCTCACCTGAAGATATGTTTTTATTGACTTTCAGAGAGAGAGGAAAGGGAAGAGAGAGAGAGAGAGAGAGATCATGTTCCAACCAACTGAGCCACCCAGCCATTTATTTGTAGTACTGAATAATACTCCATTATGTGGCTTTACCACAGTTTATTCATTCAATACCTACTGAAGGATATCTTGGTTGTTTCCAAATTTTGGCAATTATGAATAAAGTTGCTATAAACATCTATGTGCAGGTTTTGTGTGAACAGAAATTTTTCATTCTTTTGGGTAAATACCAAGGAGCACGATTGCCGCATCATATAGTAAGAGTAAGTTTAGTTTTGTAAGAAATTGTCAAACTGTCTTCCAAAGTGAATATACCATTTGTATTCTCATGACCGAAAGTTCTGTTCCTTTACATTCTCACCAGCATTTGGTGTTGCCAGTGTTGTGGATTCTAGTAGGTGTATTGTGGTATCTCATTGTTGTTTCAGTTTGCATTTTCCTGATGACGGGATGTGGAGCATCTTTGCGTAGGCTTATTTCCCATCTGTATGTCTTCTTTGGTGAGGTGTCTTTGGTCCATTTTAAAATCAGGGGTTTTTGTTGTTGTTGTTGTTGTTGTTGTTGTTTTTTTTAAATATATATATATATATTTTATTGATTTTTTTCAGAGAGGAAGGGAGAGGGATAGAGAGTTAGAAACATCGATGAGCGAGAAACATCAATCAGCTGCCTCCTGCACACCCCCTACTGGGGATGTGCCTGCAACCAAGGTACATGCCCTTGACTGGAATCGAACCTGGGACCCTTCGGTCCGCAGGCCGACGCTCTATCCACTGAGCCAAACCGGTCAGGGCTTGTTTTGTTTTTTAATTGTTGAGTTTCCACTGCTATTTAAATAGCCAAATATCATGCATATAAGCATAACCAATGGACACAAGACACTGGGGGGTAGGGGAGGCCGCGGGAAGGTCAAGGGGGGAGGAAGGAGACGTATGTAATATTCTTTGTAATACTTTAAGCAATAAAACAAAATAAATAAATAAATAGTCAAACATCTTATATGGTCAACAACCACACAGCAGCAGCAGTAGCAGCATCAATAAACATGCACACAACCCAAACCCAAAACCCACAGACCCCTCTTTGAACCCTACAAGCACTCTTACTCTGTCTTTGCTATCTCTCCGACTTGCCGTCCTTTCATGCCCTCTTCATCCCACTGATGTATGGCTTCTGTCTCCAGCCCCTTCTCTTTCCCAGTCTTAGAAAATGGCAGCAGGAACCACTTAGTTGCCCCCACCTGAAATCTGGGAATTAATCTGATCTCTCCACTTTCATCACCTCTCCACATACAAATGAATCACCCAATTCCATTAATTTGGTCACTGAACTCCTCTCAAGTCAATCCATTCACTTCTTTCCATCCTGATTGTCCCTTCCTAGTTTGGGAAGATACTGCATCTCTCTTTATGTGAAGGTGATGGACTATATGTTGTGAGCTGCTGCATGATGAGGTCATAAAGACTAGGGGTGCTGGTAGCTGCACAGGCAAAAGATCCAGTCCCTAGAGACTTCCTTGTTGTTTTAACACTGTCCTTGTGTGGGTTTCCTATTTGAAATGTTTACTTATGCATCTCTGTTGGTTCCCTTCTGTTTCCCTAGCATTTTCCTCGATTTATTAGGGACACCTCTAGGAGTTCTGAGCTCATGGCTGTCATTTAGCACTGTGGTGAGGTCCTGGCTCTGACCCTCCCTAGCTGGGACTATGGACTGCCTTGACTTTTATTTCCTTATCTGTAAAATAGATGGAGACGCACACACTGTGTCTCCACCCTGTGTGCACAATCACTTAGGACGGTGGTCGGCAAACTCATTAGTCAGCAGAGCCAAATATCAACAGTAAGATTGAAATTTCTTTTGAGAGCCAAATTTTTTAAACTTAAACTATATAGGTAGGTATATTGTTATTAACTTAATTAGGGTACTCCTAAGGCTTAGGAAGAGCCACAATCAAGGGGCCAAAGAGCCGCATGTGGCTCGCGAGCCGCAGTTTGCCGACCATGGACCTAGGAGCTTTTAAAACTCCCAGCACCCAGGCTGCACCCAGACAGACCAATGCCATCAGAATCCTGATGCTGAGGTCTCAGGATTGTTTAAAGCTACTCCTAATGATCCCTATGTGCAGACGAGATTGAGAATCAGTGACTTAGTAATTTTAAAGGGTCTTTGCTCTTCTGTCATTTCATGTTTTTATCATGCCCCAATCCCACGTCGAGATTTCTCTTTTAATGTTTTTACTAAGTTGGGAAGAAATAGCTGTGAAGTCCCCCCCCCCCTTTTCCATCTGCTATTTGTTCTTATTTACATATGATGGAACCCAGCCCATTGATTTACAGCTCTGGTTCCCTTACAACTGTTATTGAACTGAAAACATAGCTGAAAACTTATTAAACAGGAAAAAATTGTTTTGAGCTTTGTGCTGACAATTCATTATAGAACCAAGGGAATATCTAAACCTTTTCCCTTCTAGAATTACTTCTAAAAATGGATTTACAACCCCATAATATCAAATGAAAAATTTAATTCTGGTGCTAAACCCAGTATGTATTCTTTCTTGAGTCTCCCGTTGAGAAAACTGGAGCATCTCAGAAGGAGAATGAGATTTTGAGAAGTTTACATCCATAACCAGGCAAGGTCTCTGAAGTTAAGTGTTAGCATCTCCCTCCCCCACCCCCTCTGCTGATGCACAATCACACACTGGAAGAAAAGCCAGGGCAAACACATCATGAACATGGGTGTGGTCTCATTGATGAAACATTTTGGGACAGGCATTTCAGAAGAGAGTTTTTCAGTAGCACCCACCCCTTAAACCTACCATTTGAGATTTGAAATAACATAAGACTTTTTTTGAGCTGCAAGGGAGTCGAGAGGAGAGTAGGAAGACAACAGAGAAGAGCCAAACATTTGGTTTAACCACTGGCACTAAATTTGGAAAGAACTGGGGTTCTTTGTGATTTATATTGGAGATGAATACTTTGGGGTGCTAGTTCTCCCTGCCTGTTTCTTTGTTAATAGCATCTCTTTCAACTGTTCACTCACTTTATTCTGCAATACCTGTCTGAAATATACAGCCCAGGCCTTCGCTTCTCTCTCTCAAACCCATATTAAAGGGCCTTTGCTTCTCTCTCTCAAACCCTTATTAAAGGTAGCAACTATTGAAATTAGTTGCTACCTTGATAAGGATGGGCTAATAATCGTTCTCATGGAAAGAAATGGTTAATTATCTCTAGCAGTGGGGGGAAAAAGATTTTTTTCTAGGAAAGGTAATGTTGCTAGAGCATAGAGTCAAGCTGAAAGGAGCCTCTTTCCCACCATGTTTAGCATTGAACTTTCTCATGGCCTAGAAAACCTGGTCTGGTCTGAAGCTTTTTGATTTTTTAATCTGAATCTTCGGGTATTTTTTTTTTGGTAGATGGAAGAAATGATTGAGGGTGTTCGCTGGGCCTTTATTGACATGCTGGAGAAGGAAAATGAGTGGATGGATGCAGGAACCAAAAAGAAAGCCAAAGAAAAGGTAAGGATTCCAGTTTATGAAGAAAAAAAAGAAACCAAACCCTGACTTTTGCTTTAATGGATTTTCATGCTCAACATTATGTGGTTGATTTTTATATTGACTGAGCTGTTGACTCCGAATGACCCTAAAGTTGGGTTTCTCTTTTGGGATGAATACATAGATCTCATCACCAGCAGGTAAGAGAAAATAAGATGACTTTTTCTTTTTTGAATTACATTTTTAAACACCTTGTAATTCAGTCTTTCCTTCTTTCCTCCTAATTGCCGTCTATAAGAGACACATGGCTTGCTGCCCAGCGCATTTTTGCCATAAACCATCATTGGCTATGGCAGAATGCAGAGCTGTGGGGAGCCTCGGGGAACAGTTGGCAGAAAAGCCCTCAAGGCACAAAGGAGAAAAATCCATATTGGCCATGTGTCCTTCTGTTCGTGCATGATGTGTGCAAATGTCCTCAGGCAAATCCTTTCCTGTAACCTAGCAGATTTACTTTCTAACCCATTATTTTGCACAAATGATCCGCCTAGCATGCATGCAAACTGGAGACCAGTGGTAGGCCATTGTGGAGGAATAGAAAAAAAGATTTCCTAATAGAAGTGGACACTTGCTAGGCCTTGTAAAAGTTTCTGGTACTGTGCAACCAGATAAGGGAATAAATGAGGAAAGTATTAGCAGCCATGCTTTTGAAAATAAAGAATGGGACCCACCTTGAATTCTAGTTATTCTGATGGAGCTGGAGCTCAAGTGGGTAGGCAATCCCTGCTACATTCTTAACAGATGCTGCTGTGCATCTGGGAAACTCTGAAATTAGCAGCATCTTTTCTTTAGAGATGTATTTTTGAGACTTTTCTGATGATAGCGATCACCTGGGGTGTCTGGATTCTCTATAGCTTTCTGAGCCCCTCCCCAACAAGATCTGATTTAGTGAATTGAGGGTGAAGTCTGAACATTTGTGATAACCAGTCAGCCTGGTGATTCTTATCACTAGGCCGGCCCAAGGAATACCGCTTAGAGTCATATTGAGTTATGCTGTGCACAAATATTTTTGCCGTCTGGTCAAGAAACAAAGAGGGAGAGGACTTTTAGAGCCCTGAGACTACTCTGTATGATGCTGTAATGGTGAATACATGTCATGATCCATTTGTCCAAACTCATAGAATGTACAACATTCTGTGAATCCTAATGTAACCTATGGACTCTGGGTGATGATGATGTGTCAGTGTAGGTTCATTGATTGTAAGAAATGTACCACTCTGGTGCAGATGTTGTTAATGGGGCAGCTATGCAGGTGTGAGGGCAGAGGGTGTATGGGAAATCTGTGAACTTTCTGTTCAATTTTGCTGTGAACCTAAGTCTGCTCTAAAAAAATAAAGTCCATTAAAAAAAGGGCAGCATTCTGGGAATGCTCAGCCTTGTTGAAATGAGAATATGCAGAGGTTTAGCAAGGATATTTCCTAGAGCTTAAATACTCCTGAGATGCATAAACATTGCCATAGATATTTTTATCAATAGACAGAAAAAGGCTGTTCAGTGTTTACAGTGAAGAAAGAATTGGACAGCGGGGGTTGGGGGTGTTGGAGGAAGACAAAGGGCAAGTTTGATTTTTTTCCACTTTCAGAATCTGTCAAAGCTGTCTTAAGTCATGTAAGGCGCAAGCTGATGAAGGCAGGAGCATGCAGGCTGTGAGGAGAAGCTTTCCAGATGGTAGATGCAACTTTCAGCACCAACATACTGTGTTTTTTTTTTAAGGCTTCATTTATTTGTAGGCTAGCTTGTGCTATCTGGAATAGGATTTTTTTTCTACTGGGTAGATCACAGCTCGGTGCTTTGTGGGCTCTTGATCCTCACCTGACCCCTTGTGGACTAAGGGTCATCAGTGTGGAGGATGGGGTAGTGTGGTGAGGGGTGTGTGCCTGTTATGAATGGATGGGTACTAGGTGAATGTTCTGGGTTCTGCAGTCAGTTCTTTGGGAAGTATGGCTGACGATTGCCCCACAGAGATCTTCTGAGTTGCATAAGGGAGTGGATGCCTTACCTTTAGGCCTTCAAGGCAAGTGACCAATTGGTTCTTTAAGGAGGATTGTTCTCAGTCTTAATATTAGGCATGTTCCTGCTTGCCCCCCTGAGTTGCTCTTCACTCTTCAGTTTTTCTTCTAAAGGTACAGTAAGTCCCCAGTTAAGGTCATCAGTAGGTGCTACAACTTTAAATGATACTATATATAATGAAACCAGTTTTACCATAGGTTAATCGATATACACAAGAGTTAAGTTCCTATGGTATCTCATCAATGTTCTAACAAAACGATGTTAGTGAAATAATGTTATCTGAGGACCTGTTGTATTCTTTGAACACTCCAGGCTGTCTTTGAGCTGAGTTCAACCTGCCAGGAGTGCAGATATCAAAGGCAGTTGTTCTACTGGATCTCATCCGGTTCCCCGAGTATATCTGTATTTCAGAGTTCAGAGCAGTTCCTTTAATGAAAGGCAAGAAAGAGGGAATGTGGTCCAAGAATTTCCAACAGTTTTCAAAGGCAGGTCAGACCCTGGACCCCAGGAGATGGAGATTTTTTCCTCCGAATTCAATGAACATGCAGTTCTAGAAATGACCTCTGGGTGGAGCTCGTAGTACTCACAAAGACAACATTTAGACAGCTGAAGGCTTTTATGCAGCTTTTCTGCCCTGGGTTGTTTTTGAAAAATTATTTTTTTCTTGCCCTTTTTCTCTGCTGTCCTCGATTTGATTGCCTTTTAATAGTCAACAAGCAAGGAGAGGCTCAGCCTAATGATTCCTTGAATCTTAGAAGGAACTCTCTGACAATCTTAGGGCTTTGTCTTTCTGATACTAAGTAGCCCCTGCATTAAGACAGAATTTGCCTACATCGGAAGTGGAGGTGAAAAATTCTCCTGCTCTTCCTGGTATGACTTGGCACTGTTCTGTAGGCATGTGTTGTATGCAGTATATCACCCAAGTGGAAGATTTCTCATCAATAATAGTGCCCACACGGGCCAATGCTGAGTCACTTGGCAACGCATTGGGAAAATGGAAACAAATGTTCCGAATTGCAAGGGGAGAAGCTTTTCTTTCCTTTACTGTTCAGCTCTGGACTGCAGCTAATTACAGCGTCTCCTAAGGGGTGTTGACCTCAGCATTCCTTAGTGACTGGCCTCCTGAACTGGGAGGGTCCAGATACCTTCAGTGGTCTGAGGCCTAACACCTTGGTCTCCAAATGGAAGTGTGGGGATGTGGCTTTGTCATGCTCTTGGCTAGGGGTGATCACTGTAAAAGGTAAACAAGGATGCCTCTGTTCCTGTAAAGGATAAATTTGTTATCTCTATCTCCCTGCCTTCCCTCTCATCTCTTAAGAGGTCATGAGTGGTTTTGTGCTGTGAAACCGACAGTGTAGGTTTCAGTTGGGAGTTTAATATGGTGAAATAAGCACCAATTTTTATTTAGGATTCTGTGTTCCCTGCCAGCCTGTGCTCTTATTGTAAACAAGCCACAAAAGATAGGAGGCCTGCTATTTTTCGGGTTAGCATAGATGTTGAGTGCATGTAAAGTGATGCAGATTATTTTGGGGTTGTCTTCTGAAAGGTTTACTTTTTCCAGAATTGAGCAGGAGGATCTCAAGGTCACTACATAATGATTCTGAGGTGTGGCAGGAAGGGACACAGCACTGCCTTCCACTGTCCTGGCAGTGGGAGCAAGGCTTCTGCTGGAGAGCTCTGTGTCAGATCAGGAGGAGCAGCTTCCTGAACTTCATTGGTCACCAGTTGGATTTGATTCTGTGGCCAGAAGCTGGACCGTTTTAGGAAAATTGTTTGTTTGTACTCTTTGCCCTGGAACCTATGCTTGCCAAGCCACCCCCAGAGAAAAAGACCTGGATGGGACTCCTAGGGGAGCTATATCCTCAGGATGCTGTGAGTGGCTTTAACCTTGGCAGGTGTGAGGGTTCCTGCTGCATGGCCCCATTTCCACAGTCACGTGACTCCTGGGCACAGGCTTTTGGTGAGGTGGGAGGAATGTTCCTATAGAGAGGACAAACAAAAGTGTATCTCATCTCTTTGGTTTTGTCTCTGTTGGAGAGGAAATAATGTTTCCTTTTACCATTCTAAGCTCTTGACTATAACAAAAGATCTATATTATAAAAAGCCACTGGCCATAATGCTGTAACGACCAAATGACTTGTCACCAGGAGGTACATGGAGCACCCCTCGGTCCCTCCCCCCTGGCCTGCGAGCAGCGGCTCTCGCAGCACGGCAGGGCGCCTCTTGCGATTTTGCACGCTGGGCTGCTAGTAGGTTAATAAGAGAAAAACAAACAGAAGTTGATTAACATGTATATCTCATACGTATCTGAGAGAAACTCAGAGAAATGAGTAACTCAAAGAGGTGGCTTAGAACTCGGGCTTATATGGCATCTTCCACAAAGAACAATAAATTTGTAGAGAAAAATGACAAGACAAAGGAAAGTGGTTTTAGACTTCCAAATGTGGCAGTTGTGGGAAGGCAAATATATTGAAACTAATGGTAGGTACAGGTTAGTTAGTGAAATTTGTTACATAGACTCCTCTGGTATATCTCCAGGCTGTTAGGGTCTAAAGTTGTCTCCATTGATTCACTTTTATCCTTCCTGGTATAGAGGGGAGGAGGACAACTGTGAAAATTTATGTCTTGCAAATTGGAGAGCAGGGAACTTATACCTGTTGCTTCTGTTACCTTCAGTTCAAAATAATTTTCATGTTTAAGAGACATATTTTGTGGTGACATTCTGGTTTCCTTCATCTTTAAGCTCTGCCCGACTCTAGATTTTAGATTTCCCCCAAGTATCCAGTTTGTACCAACTGTGTTGGGCCCACAACCCGAGCCCGGTGGTTTTCAAGTGCTTCTAGACCAGCAGCAGTGGCCTCACCTGGGAACTTGTTAAAGAGATGCAAATTCTTGGGTCTCTCCCCGGGCCTGCTGAACTATGGGAGTGGGATCCTGTGACCTGCATTTTAACAAGC